AGAGGCAACCATGCCGACATCAACGCACAGAGTCTGTCAGCGTTGATGCCAGTTACGTATAGCCAAACACACCAGTGCTACGTACTTCAGGATAATCCACACAGAGATACTGTCAGCATAGACTCCCCTAACATCACGCGTGCACACTTTCTGCATTCAGAAATGTCGTTTACACATTCCAAGCAGCGGCAGTAAGGTATACGTCTTTTTTACATATCATACAATAACGTATACTGAAGCAATGCTCCGGCGATGACAGAGCGTCTACCAGAGGTATAAATAAAAAAGGAGATCACAGGAATGCACCTCAGCTGTGTGCCACACACAAACGAGTCGTTAATTACTGAATGCAACACAGTTGAGGTGGCGATCCCACAGGAAGAGAGCAGGAGAGAGAAAGGCAGAAGAGCGGCAGGTCGCGCCGAGTAGACCTGACAGGCTGCTCTGACCTCCTACCTCCATCCCAATGCCAGGATCATAAACTCTACTTTGACAAACACCATACCACCTTTATTTAATCCAGTAATATACTCTTTAAAATCAGAAGAAGTGTTGAACTCTATCAAGAAACTCCTCAAAAACAACAGACTGCAGCATAACCTTTTCCAGAAAGGTCACCTCTTTACCATGACTGTAAAAGCAAAAAGTGTTACAATACTGCAGTATGAATGTGTTTTACTTGTTTTATACATTTTTTTTTTACTATTAATGTTTTACGAGAAAGTGCTGTAGTGTGGTTTCTGTGCTGTACTTTGTCATTTGCTGTTCTTTTGCAGTAGCCATATTTTCCTTGCAAAATAATAATAATCGTTTAAAATTGTACCAAATTATTTGTGTAATGTCCCTTTGAGGTTAGTGACATCCTTTTTCAGGGAAACCTGATGAGAACGGCAGCATTACAAATAGTGTGTCTTTGCTGCTAACATGCTGCTGACCTGATTAGGTCCTATACATCTCTTTTTATTTGCTCATTGTTTTATACTGACTTAAACAATTGTGTGTTATGTAAATAATGTGTCATATATATATGTTCTTTGTTTGGTTCTTAGGTGTGCAGTCATAGACACTTGTGATTATGGCATATGACAGATTTATAGCAATTTGCTTTCCTTTCAGGTATCATAGTATTGTGACCAAACCAGCTATTGCTGCAATGCTACTGATTGTGTGGGTTTTTATGTCATGTCTAATAGCATGCATGGTTGGATTGCTTAAACCTGAGACTAATTCATCCCTGTTGCACCCATTAACTGTAACCTGACCTGCCATTCTAACTAAACTTTCTAACCTCCATTCCACCTGCCCTGCATTTAGCTTTTGTTTAATTAGGTGACAAATCTATGTTCTAACACGCTCTTGTATCATACAATTCTGTTTTTTTTTTGCCTAAATTTGTATGTTTAAACATTGCAGGTCTTCTTAAAAGTCTTTGTATTGTTAGATTTTACCCAAGTTCTTTAGTGAAAGCGTGAGAAGTGAAGACAGGAGAGGACTGTTTTAAATCAACAGGAAGTTTACTCAAAGTCTGGGCGCAGGTGAAGCCATACAGCGCGCTAGGATTAGAAAGAGAGCTCACGCAGGAAATCCGTTCTCTGAACCATGAGTTACGTTTTTCCATTACATTTATCTTCTTGGGCTGGTCCGCCCTGGACAGAGGTACAACATTTCACGCTTTGTAATCCTATTGGTCATTTGGCGTGAGCAGGTCAACCCCTGCCTGCACCTGCTTGCTGAAATGTGATCTAAACCAGGTGTGTGTATTTGTGCAATTTTCAGGCAGCAACTTGATCAATGAATACTGAACAACGGGTTGTCTGCGCTGCAGACCCCCTGTGTGTGTGTGATGCTAAAGCAGGACCTAGTGAGTATGCTAAATGGGCCAGGTGGTCATCTCAGGTTGTAGGCCCCCTGTCTCTGCAAGATACCACATGACAAAGCAGAACTTGGAATATGCTAAGCCGGTCTAGGTGAAGGTGGGAAACAGGCCAACAGGTCTTTCTTAAAATGTAAAATCTGGTTACTTGAAGATACAGACATCCTGTCTCTACAGAATTTGTAGCATAAAGTTCCAAAGTTTCACTCAGTAGAATATAGTAGTCATCAATACAGTTTTAATATATAAGCAAGGAAAATAAAGATATGAAAAGTAACTAAAAGAAAATGAACTAAAAAGTAACTAATGGAAACTAACATTATGAAAGGTAACTAAAGCTTCTAAAGTAACTAGAGCCTGTAAGAATCAAATCTTACAGTATCTTTGACATATTTTCAGCTAACATAGGTTGTGATGTCCTTTGGTCCTTGTGAGGAATCAGGAAATTTTCTGAAAGAAACGTACTGAAATGAAAGAAATTTTCCCACTTCATTTGTGAAATAGATCAGATTTTGTTTGTTTATTTTTTTGCAAGGTTTATTTTTCTGTTTATTTTTGTAATACTCATTTCGGCCACTGCATGTTTTAAATTGGGAGCTGCAGACTAAATAGGAGTAATTATTCATTAAAACAAGGTAGTTATTTTTATTGTATCTATCCGATACTCATGCAATCATCTTTTCTCTTTTTTATGGCCCTCTCTTAGTCTTCTGCCTCTTTTCCTTTTTGCTTGTGCCTCTTCTTATTCTTTCTTGACCATGCCTTGTGTTATATCTGTACCCAATAAATTTTGTTCAGTAAGAACCCAGAAGCAAATTATTTACAACACTTGTAACTATGAGCTTTTCATATCGACACTGTCACTCATCTTTATGTGTAGAATGTTTTTGGGCACAGGATGAATGTGTACATGTGAAATATTTTAAATACATTGTAGGACTTGACTGACATCGTCTCCCCTCTATTCACGGACAGCTACACAATATCTTCTGATACATACTGTAACTGAGTCAGTTAAACTTTAGCCATTTGTTATTCAGTGGATTTCTAATTTTTCAAATATATTGGTAGACTGTGTAGTGTAGTCATTAATGACGTCTCCCATTAGTGGTTCAGCTTGTACTGAGAACATTAACACACTAAAGGGGAGGCAATCATCATAATTCCATTCTCTAGTCTGTGTCCTACTTTGTGGATGAAAACTTTTCTTTCTTGTTTTATTAGTTTCTCAGACAGTAGAACTGAAACAAAAGCTGCTGCAATTTAAACTGGGCCATGGGTTTTAGCCCTAGTTAACCCTTGTGTTAATCCAGCTTTGGGGAAGACCCAGCCGGAATGATGTAAGAGAGTTTGATATCAGGGATTGACAAAACTGAGATAGTTGACCATGAGCATCAAAATTAATTATTTATTATAGGACAGCAGCAAAAAGTTGCTTTAGGCAGGGATATAAAATAAAGTTTTAGGCTGACAACAACACAGATACTACTGATGAATAGCTAATGTGATACACTGTTTATGTAGTTACTGTATGTAGTCCTCTTATTCTTTCTGACCATACCTTGTATTTTATCTGTACCCATTGAATTTTGTTCAGTAAGGACCAAAAAACAAAATATACATAAAACTCATAACTATGAGCTTTTCATATCAACACTATCACTCATCTTCTTGTGGAAAATATACTTGGGCAGAGGATCAAAGTGTATATGTTAAATAGCTTAAATAAATAGTTAAATGTCTCCTGATAGAGAAATGAGTCAATTAAATTTTATTCACTAGATTTATAATTTCTCAAATATAGTACTAGACCATGTTGACCACGCCTCATAATTCCATTCTCTTGTCTATGTCCCTCTTTGTTAAGGAATATTTTTCTTCCTTGTTTCATTAGTTTCTTAAACAGTAGAACTAAAGCTTAAAATTGAAGTTTGATGAGACAGGAATTTAGTATCTAAAAACATCATTCAAGCCTTGAAAGTACAATAATTTAATGCATGAAATCTTACACACGTGCACTTTCATGTATATCAATATTGGAAATGACTAAAACATATGTTGCCTACATTTTTGTTGTTACAACTCTCCAGTGACTTTTCTTATGTTGTGCCAATTTTAGTTTTTCTTACCAGTGCCAGGGCTCTGTTTCTGATCTCTTTGGTTTTCAAAGAGTATACAATAGGATTGAGGCAGGGTGGGGAGCAAGAAGCCAGAGACAGGCTTAGCAATGGCAGGTCCTCATTAATGAAATGCAGATAAAGTGCAATATTATAAATGGTAATGAGAGCAATGTAAAATACAGTAACAAGGATGATATGTTCAGTGCAAGTAGACAAAGCTTTAACTCGACTGTCCAAAGATTTCATCCTGAACACCGTCACCAGGATGCTGACATAAGACAGACAAATTAAAGTAAAGGGTACAACAAGAATCAAGAAACTAAGTGAATTGGCCACAGCCCATTGCATTGTGTAATCATTACAGGCGAGTCTATACACAGGTGTATAGTCACAGAAATAACTGAACACTGTTAGGGAATTGCAAAAAGACAATCGAGTCAATAGACCTACTGCAAATGCAATGATTCCCAGAGTAAAACACCAAGTCAGACCAATAATAAAAGACATGCTTTGCAGTGTGTTGATTGAGTTCTGACGCAGAGGAAAACATATTGCGATCAACCTGTCATAGGCAAGTATAGCAAGTACAAATGACTCCAAAGTCCCAAAAGCATAGTAAACATACATTTGTGCTAGGCATAAGTTAAATGGGACAAAGTTATCTTTAATGAGGAAAATCTTTATCATGCTGGGAATAATACTTGTGCTTAGGAATATGTCAATTACTGCGAGGTTGCCCACAGCCAAAAATTTTGGAGTGTGTAAACAATGATTAAAGACACTTACATAGATCACCAAACTGTTAGACAGCACTGTGACCATATAAACAAATGCTAGAAAGATGATGTAGACACTGATGTAGGGTAATGTCTGTAATCCAGTAATATAGAAGCCTGGAGGATGAATGATAACAGAGTCATTTAAAACAGTCCTGAGAAATGACATAGTTGAACTCCACAAGCTGTGTGTTGGAGGATGGCCTCTGCCTAAAAGCTCTCCAGTCTAAAGAACAGGGGAATCATATCACATTAAACATTAGACCTCAACAGAGACAATCATAATTTTTATGCCAGTTGGATGAGCTTATTTAGTTTCATATAAAACATAGTCAGTAAGTTGCAAAATATACAATAAAAGTCAGTGAGCATTGCTTACAAGACGTTCTCTTCAGGATTTCTTAGCAGCAGCTCTGATTGATTCAGCATCTAAAAGCAGTAGGCAGACGGCTGCATGTGTGACCCCTGGACAGAGGAAGATATACTTTCCTCATCAATCCCCAAAGCTTCCCTTTGACACAGAGAAAGTCATTTTGACCCTGCTCTATTAAGAAGGACATTAATTTGATCCTTGGAGAGCATCTGATTATTCTCTTCTTGTGCTCAAAATAAACATCTAATTATGATTCAGTAAGTTTGAGAATCTCACACCAAATCTTTTAAAACACAAACACATGCAGCATTATCAAAACAAAACAAGGTAGAAAAGCTGCTGAGATGACCTTCAGCATTACCTGCAGAGTTAGATCCTGCTTTTGTGTTATTTTATTTTCACACGCAACACAACCATATATTACAAAAACTAACAATGTTTTGTGAACTTATTTTATGTAAAATGAGGAAACTGCATATAAAGTTATAATTAACATTAAATAGGCCATGGTTCTAATGGGCCCAGTTTGGATTTCCATCATCAGAGAATGATGGTTAGTAACAAAGAAACCTTTTAATGCTTAAACCTTTAAATAATTCATCTCTTTTGCAGCCGTTAACAATTCTAACAATTAAAACCCAACCTGCCATTCCAACTAAGCTTTGTAACCTCGACTCCACCATCTGCCCTGCATTTAACCTTCACTTAATTACGTGACAAATCTGCATCCTTACCATGGTGTTAGTTTGGTTACCTTCTTCTTTTGGCTGTTCCCGTTAAGAGGGATGTTGGGTAGTCAAAAACAAAATAAAAATGTAGTCAGTGCATTTGAATGGTTTATGTTTTTAATAAAATTGAAAAATACTGTAGCTTATAGTGAAGTTGTTCCATACAGAGTCTCAGCCTAAATCGTGATCACAT